AAATCGAATTTGTTGGTTTGTTTGGTTCGGTTTATAAATTTAAAAATCCGACATTATTGGTTTGGTTTGGTAATTAAAAAATTCAAATCAACCCGACCTATATATACCCAAGCATGTACCTTATGAGATATTTTCTGGAAGCTGTTTACACATTACATATGCAAGTTGCCACAACGTGCTATGAGAATGTAAAGACTTAAACGACCTAGCTCCTGTACAAGTAAGAACGCAAACAAGTACAAACATGCATAGCGTAAATATCTAATTCCTAACTCCAACATTCTCTAGTCATTTTTCTTTTTGATAATATCTTACTGCTCCATCCAAATAACGTTAGACATTATTTTCCTTTTTTTTTTTGGGTACCTTCCAAAAAGTTGGAGGTTTTCCTTCATATGAAACAAAATATTCTTCTTTGACAATTCAAGCTGCTAGCTATTGATATACCACTTTATATTATGCCTAATTTGATTAGAAATATTACCGCCTAACTAACTCACTTTTTATATCGAATTTTAATAGTTTGCATCCGTGCAGGTCAAAAACTCAACATAAACACTTGCGGACTTGCTTTATAATTTATTGGAAGGAGGGAGTAAGATGCTCTAGGGGTGTGTATTCGATTTATCGATTCGATTTTGACCCTTATCGATAATTACTTATCGATTATCGATTTGTACATATGCTTATTGTTATTGTTTCAATAAGGTTTTCGATTTTTTCTGTTTCGATTTATCAATTTTGGAAGTTTATCGATACAAAAATAAGCACATGCAACAAACACCGTTTATAAGGTACATGCTATAAACGCTATAACATATATAGCTACGCCTAAACACGGAAAGTATATCGCTATAAACACGCCTAATTAATATGGACAAAAATAAGCTAAAATAAGACGAACACCGTTTATAACATACAAAATTGTGTCAACAAGCACATGCAACAAAACTAAATAAGGGATAAAATGTATGTCACCAATATTCCAACGGTATAAAAAAAACATCATCACGGCTAATTATGTTTTCCATTAATTTGAACTTCATTCCATTGATCTTTAAATATGATCATTCTTTAAATGTGGTAGAGGAAATAATAGGGTTATGGACTTAGGGTAAAGGAAAGGGTATTATAGAACAAGGGTAAAATAATTTATTTATTTTGTCTTTTTAGTATATTTTATTGGTTTATCGATAAACCGATAACCGAAGAGGATAAAATCGAAATCGATAACTCGATAGGGAAAATTTCGAAATTGAAATCGAAATCGATAAATCAATAGACCGATAATAAATAATCGATTCGATTTATCAATAAACTGATTCGAATGCACACCCGTCAATCCTGTACTTTTTCTTGCATTATTTCAATTTTACCGAATGTCCCCAAAAGCTACAGGTGCTCAATACTGTATACTCGGTTTAATAAAAGACAAAAAGTTAGGCATTAAAACGAACTTCTGACCAAACTTTTGGACTAAAATTAGTGAATGGGAAAACAAAAATATATCATATGTACCTTACGAGATATTTTCTGGAAGCTTTTGACACATTACATATGCAATGTGTAAAAGTAATAACGCAACAGGCACAATAATCCGTAAAATTTCACATGTGAGATATTTGGGGAGGGTGGTGTGTACGCAGACCTTATCCCTACTACGATGGAGTAGAAAGACTGTTTCCGATAGACCTTCGGTTCAAGAAAATGAAAAAGACGAAAAGAGACAATATATCAGTACCATCAACAAAAACCATAAACATAATAACATTATAAGAACCAGAAAATAGTTGAAACGCAATAACAATAACCAGTAAATAAGGTTCGGTGCTATGAAAATTGAAGAATAGTGTGAACATCACATTAACCACTAGCAGTCTAAGACAAACCCTATTAGATAGCCTCTCACCCGGAACGAAGTAGAAACATGCTCAACTACCTCCTAACCTACAACCCTAATGCTCGGCCTCCACACCTTTCTATCAAGGGCTATATCCTCGAAAATCTAAAGTCACGCCATGTCCTTCCTAATCACTTCTTCCCAATACTTCTTAGGTCGTCATCTACCTCTTCTCGTACCCGCCAAAGTCAACCGCTCACACTTTCTTACCGGGGCATCCGGGCTTCTCCTCCGTACAAGCCTGAACCATCTGAGCATTGCTTCCCGCATCTTGTCATCTATAGGAACCACACCCACCTTCTCTCGAATATCTTCATTCCTAATCTTATCCATCATAGTGTGCCCGCACATACACCTCAACATCCTTGTTTCTACTACTTTTATCTTTTGAATATGTGAGTTCTTAACGGGCCAACACTCTACCCCATACAACATAGCCGGTCTAACCACCACTCTATAAAACTTACCTCTGAGTATCGATGGTACTTTCTTGTCACACGGGACTCCAGATGTTAACCCCAATTTCATCCAACCCACCCCTGTACGGTATGTGACGTCCTCGTCGATCTCCCCATTCTCCTGGATAACTGACCCAAGGTACTTGAAACTGCCTCTCTTGGGGATGACCTGTGATCCAAGCCTCACGTCCATGCCCGCTTCCCTCGACTCGACACTGAACTTGCACTCTAGGTATTCTGTCTTAGTCCTGCTCAACTTGAAACTCTTAGACTCAATGGCCTATCTCCACACCCTCAGCCTGTCGTTAACACTGTCTCGCATCTCATCAATCAGAACTATGTCATCAACGGATAACATACACCATGACACGTCTCCTTAAATATGTCGTGTTAATGCGTCCATCACCATGGAAAACAAGAACTAGCGGTGCACATATCCTTAATGTAGCCCCATAACAATCGAAAAAAGCCCTCTCCCAGTGTCCTAACCCGAGTCTTAGCTCCGTCATACATGTCCTTTGATCACTCTAATGTAAGCTACTAACATACTTTTTGCCTTCAAGCATCTCCAGAGAACCTCCCTAGGGATATTATCATACACTTTCTCCAAGTCAATAAACACCATGTGTAGATTCTTCTTCATATCCCTGTATTGCTCAAACAACCTCTTAATAAAATGGATAGCTTCCGTGGTTGAATGACCCGGCATGAATCCAAACTGGTTGTCAGATATAGACACCTTCCTCCTCACCCTCACTTCCACCACCATCTCCAAAACTTTCATAGAATGACTTAGTAACTTGATACCCCTACAGTTGTTATAATTCTGGATATCACCTTTGTTCTTGTACAACAGTATCACCGTACTCCACCTCCACTCATCTGGCATCCTCTTCGTCCTGAAAGTAACATTAAATAGCCTGGTCAGCCACTCCAAGCCTGCTCTACCCACACGCCTCCAAACTTCTACCGGAATTTCGTCTGGCCCGGTTGCTCTGACTATACTCATCTTACGCATAGCCACCACAACCTCCTCAACCTTAATGCGCCTACAATACATAAAGTCTCAGTAACTCTCCGAATGCCCCAAATCACCTAGCATATATCTCGGCCCCCTCTTCATTCAGAAGTTTATGAAAGTAAGTCTGCCATCTTCACTTACTCTGAGCCTCCCCCATCAATACTCTACCATCCTTGTCTTTGATGCACCTCACTTGATTCAGATCCCGAACTTTCCCCTCTCTCGCCTTAGCTAACCGAAATAACTTCTTATCCCTGCCATTGTCCCCCAGTTCCTCGTATAGATGACCAAATGTTGCATTCTTAGTCTCCGTGACCGCCAATTTCAACTACTTCCTCGCTACCTTATACCTCTTTTTGTTCGCTCTCTTCTCCTTCTCGCCTGTGCTCCCTACTAACTTTAGGTACGACGCCTTCTTCGCTTCCACTTTGCCTTGGACCACTTCATTCCACCACCAGTCGCCTTTGTGCCCGCCAGAGAAACCATTCGAGACCCCCAACACCTATCTCACCGCCTCTCTTACACAGTTTGCCATCGTCGTCCACATAATACTTGCGTCCCCACTACTCCTCCAATCTCCCATAGCCGATAACTTTCCCTCCAACACCTCAGCTTTATCCTTAGTCAAGGCTCCTCACCTGATCCTCGGTCGTGCTCGAACATATCTCTTCTTCCTTGGCGTTCATCACCAAGAGCTTATGTTGGTTGCGAGGGTCTCGCCCGAGATAACCTTGCAATCCTTGCACAAACTTCTATCGCATCTCCTAAGGAGGAAATAATCAATTTTAATCTTCGCCATCGTACTTTGGAAAGTAACCAAATACTCCTTCCTCCTCAGAAAACTAGAGTTCGTGATCACCAGCTCAAATGGCTTAGCAAAATCCAATAATAAAGTTCCTCCCAGTTCCTATCCCAAAGCCGAAGCCGCCATGCACCTCGGCATAGCCACCTGCACCTCGCCATAGGGTAAATATCTAATTCCTAACTCCAACATTCTCTAGTCTTTTTTCTTTTTTGATAATATCTTACTGCTCCATCCAAATAAAGTTAGACATTCTTTTTCCTTTTTTGGGTACCTACCAAAAATTAGACTTTTTTCTTCGTATGAAACAAAATATTCTTCTTTCACAATTCAAGCTGGTAGCTATTGATATACCACACTTTATATTATGCCTAATTTGATTTGAAAATATTAGCGCCCAACTAATTCACCTTTTTGTCAAATTTTAATATTTAGCATCTGTGCAAGTCAAAAACTCAAAATAAACACTTACTTTGTAATTTATTGGAAGGAGGAAGTAAGATATCTCAATACTGTACTTTTTCCTGCATTATTTCAATACTGAATACTCGGTTTGAATCAAAGACAAAACTTCAGGGATAAAAACGAACTTCTGGCCAGATTTTTGGACTAAAATTAGTGAATTGCCAGCTAAATAAATTGTACTTTAATAAATTTTTGAAGGTGTCGGTGTGAACAATGAGTACACTCAATAATGAGGATCTCTTATCTCAATTGACTAATGGGCCCCCATTTTCATCCTCTGGCCCAGCCCGGACCCACCACCCATTTCAGTGCACGTCATATCGTGTAGCGTGTATCCCACTTCCCGATTTGTCCCTTTTGCCTCAGTCGGAAACAACCGCAACGATCAAAAAAAAGTTATCAGTGTTTCCATAACTAAGGAGTTAGCAGTAAAAAATAAAGCAGAAGTTTAGCCAATCGATAAAAAGAGAACAGACTCTGCCACGGAAAAAGGAAAATTACGAAAAAGGGAATCGCCAAGGCACAACGGTCTATGGTGATTATCATTACCGATAAAATAACGGTGCTTTTTCATTGCTAATCATTGCGTTTCTTTCATTTTGAATTCAATTTTGGGGGAAGAGGGATATTGTTAGGGTTTTGAATTCGGAATTAGAAGGGAAAGGATGACGGAGGTGGTCGTCCACATATATGATGTGACGAATAGTGGCTCCGATAAGACCAACAACACAATTGTTCAGATCAACAAGTTTTTCAAAGACGGCATCGGTCTTGGTGGTATCTTCCATAGCGCCGTTCAGGTTCACTTCTTTTACTTTTTGCCCAATTTGTTGTTCTCTGTTGGTGAATTGGATCTAGGGTTTAGTTATGGAAATTCTGCATTGGGATTTCAGTTATTATTCCGTCTTGAGTTGCTGGATACTGAAATTTACTGATTTTTATTGTGTTATATTATATGTTTAATGCCTTGGGAATATTTAATGAAACGGGGATCTGGTTGAATGTGTTCGTGGTATATTCTCAAACATCTCTCTCTCTCTCTCTCTCTTGTTTGGGTGAATTAACATTTCCATAGAGCAGCAAAAAGAGAAGCAGCATAAACAACCAAAAAGCATTTATCACATAAGGAGCTTTTTATTTGTGGATCTAACAAACAATTTACTGTATCTAACAAAACATTTTAGTGAGGAAAAGTTTTTCTAGAACTATCAATTTTCTGTATGATTTGCAAAACGACAAGTTCCTTTTGTTTTGTTTCTCTTTCTTTTCTTTTTGCTTCTCCTTAAACATAAAACTAGTTTACATAGTGGACCATTTTGTTTTGTAGTTTCTGGTATGTAAGATATTAGTAACCACTTTTGTTAATCTTCTATCTCCCATCTGTGACTTTAAACTGAAACTGTTCTTGAATGTTTGCTTTTGTCTATACAATATTGAGCCTGGAGGACTTGGTTGAGGCCAGAGACATGAGGATAATAGTTCTAATCCTAGCTATAACTTGGTGTGAGTCCATCTATCCCAACATGACATAATCATTTCCTTTTCACCATCGGGCATCTATATATATATATATATATATTCTTGGAAATCTTAGCTTTCTATTTTTTCTGCTGCAAGCTTAACTAATCAATTCTCACCTATCGTCTTTTCAAAGATACAAGTTTTTATTTTCCTTCAATCAGACTAGAAGGGAATGAGTTCCCAACCTGAGCATTGTAAAAAATTTCTCCAAATTTTCAAGCCATATATGTGGTATCAGTGATGGCGATAATGCATGTCCTGTATCAGTGTTGTCACAAGTGAAAAGCTCTAAAAAAACGCTCCAGGTTTATTGGGGCTTTAAGCGCAAAGCATAATTTAAGTGTGGGCTTTAGTAAAAAAATGTGCAATGATGGAAATAAATAAAAATATATTTGTAATTTAAGAAAAAATTAACAAATTCATTCATATTGGTTTCCATAAGACATTATATACTTATTTGCGATTATATTTGTTGTTTAGTGCCACCCCATTCAAGATAGAACTCATGGGCAATGGGTGTGCACGCCTTAGGCCTCATTTGTTTGCACTTAATGGAGGTCTGAATCTTAATCATTCAGATCTCAGACATTAAGTGCGTTTGTTTTTAAAGTCTGAATCTTAATTATTCAGATCTTAATCACTAAGTGTGTTTTTTTTACTTCACAACCACTTAATGGGTCTGAATAGGTCTGTATGATTAAGATCTATAACAAAGACTTAATTTCATTAAGATGCTATCACATATTCATTATTAACTGCCGCCGCCGCCTACCATTATCAACTACCACTATGCCACCAACACCACCACGCCACCATCATCCTCAATCATAGCCGCTACCATTATCGACCATCACCACCCACTATCCCCACCATTCCGACCACCATCATTCTCACCCACAATCAATACTCATCCACCTAAGCCATCACAAATGACCACCCCATCACCATCAACAACTACAACCAGCACTGCCATCATTATAACCTACCATCACCCACCCACCACCTTCCTCAGTCACAATTACTACCACCACCCGCCAGTATTAACTATCACCACCATCCTCAATCATAATCGCCACCACTACCAATCACTACTAGCTACTAGCATGAACCACCATCATCAACCAAAACTACCACCAACCACCGTCTATAGTCTATAGTCGACATTCACCCGTTAGCCATCACCACCAACAACTATCATATTTTTAAAAAACTATATATTTTATTGATAGAACATTAGATTAGTTAGTATTTCATTTGAATTTTATGTTTATTAATTTTCAAATAAAGATAAATTTTATACATTTAGATGTTAAAATCAAACAGTCTTAATTATTTAGTATTCAGGTCTTAATATACATCAGATTCAGATGTCTTAATCTTAATACACATCTTGATATTCAAATGTATATTCAGATTCAGACGTCTTAATCATAAAAAAAACAAAAAACAAATGAGGCCTTAGTGCCTTACCTAAATTGAAGCGCAGCTTAAGTGAGGCGACCTCCCCAAGCTTTTTTAAGCTTCAGGGCTTAAGCACGCTTTAAATGAGCCTTTGACAACATTGATCTGTATGAGATCGTGTCCGCCTGACACTTCCATACGTGGGGTTATAAATGTATTAATAAGCTCTATGATCCTTGCAGTTTACCCAAAAAGTGATTGAGTTGCATTATTGCTTCACAGAACTCAATATCTAATGTATCATTTATCGAAATTGAGAAGACTAGGGACCATCATTTAATGACTTAAAGTAAATGCGGAAGTACTGGTTAGTCTACGCCGACATACATTGAAAGAACTGATTATCTTTGTTATAAAAATTTAAGACTAATGATAACTGATTTTTTCACATCCTTGCATCTTGAATAAGATGTCAAAACTGTGTTGATCCTTTCACAATTTGTCTCACCTAGCATTTTCTTCTGATAACTGACATATGCAAAGTTGTAAGCACGATGTCCTGTTTCTAACTCTTTCTATTATCAGGATATATTGGTTCTTATTTGCAAAAATCTTGCATGGTCTCATCTTGTGTAGTGTCCCTTTAAGCTCATTTGATGGTGTCTTCAGTTGTTCTCTAACTTTTTGCTGAACTTTTGTCTCTTGTTAGTCAAACGAGCTATTTTTTTTAAAAATGTTGCTCTGGCTATACTGTCTATAGCTCCACCTTGTGTTTTTATCCTTTTGAGTTTGTGTCTTAATAAATGTGAGATTTGGTCTATATCTTACACAGGTTTATGGAGATGACGAGTGGTCATTCGGGTTCTGTGAGCAAGGTACTGGAGTTTTTAGTTGTCCTGCTGGGAAAAATCCAATGTATACATACCGTGAATGCATTGTACTTGGAACCACAAACCACCCAATTTTCAAAGTGAACCAGATACTGAGAGAGCTTAGTAGAGAGTGGCCCGGACACTCATACGATTTATTGGCAAAGAACTGCAATCACTTTTGTGATGAGTTTTGTGAAAGACTTGGTGTTCAAAAGCTTCCTGGTAATCTTTTTCTCCCGTCTCTCTGTTTTCCCGTGCCTGTTGATCTCTGTTTGTGCTATAAGCATTTTAGTCTACAAACTCTTAGTGGTGAACTTGAATTTTGTGCAAATGTACGGCCACTGCTTTTGGTGTCTGGAGAAGTACTCAAATTATTATGTATTTGCTATTTCATCATTTTCAATTAGGTGATGTCTGTTCACTAGTGAGATGTTTTACTTTGAAGACAGTTCTCGGTTGCCAATTCTCCTCATACTTATTGAAGCTCATGGAAACCACCTTTTCTCGGCTTTTGAATGTGACATTTTTACTGAATGTTATTTCTTTCATTCCAAGTTCAGTTTCCTCCTCTTTTTTTAATTTTTATGACAAGGCAATTCCTTGTTTCCTAGGTTGGCTTCTATGAATAGATTGATTAATGAACATTCAAGCTTAGAGCAAGGTGCAGAAACATGATGGAAACACTGTCCTTTAGATTGCCAAGAACATGATCCATGGTTATAGATATATTAACTTTAGAAAATTTGATTTGAGTGTTGGACCCCTAATATGAGGAGCGGGGAACACCTAATATATTTTGATTATCCCATTAAAGTGTTCAGTAAGCAAAATATTCTGTTACCAGTAATTGACACTCAATTATTTTGTCCACTTCCTATACATCAGTCAAATTACTTAATAATGCTAAATTACATAAACTTAATCATTTTGAAACATGTATTGGTGATGCCTTCCCTTCAAAACATCTCTGGTTCCTCTCCTTCCAACTAGTCCAAATTCCAAAAATCACATGCTGGAATGGTTCTCCAGATTTTCTTCAACTCTTTGTTTCTTTTACAGCATTGAAGTGTTTAAGTGCATGATTCTTGTTAAAGATAAGCTTTTAAATGCATGATATATTTTACTTATCTGCTGTGTAATTCACGCTAGCAAGAAGCTTTCATTTAATGTCTTATCTTAAGAAATCTGTCTACTGATATTCTTCTCTAAAACGTAGGTCTTAGGTGTTTTTTGTGGGAGGGTGGGGGGCGGTCCACATGTAAGCATGGGCGGAAGTACTGCCTTGTGTTCTGATTGTTGCTTGTATTATAGAGGTCCCCATCAGGTGCACCAAAATAACAGTTCTAGAGAAGATTTGAGATGTCATTTTACCTTACCAATAGAAATAATTATGCAGGTGATGTATTTCATGCAGTGAATTTAGACTGGATATTTAATATTGGGTTGCCACTTCGTCTGCTAGGGAGCAGTTTTAAAATTTCCACATTATCTAGGTATACAGTAAAAAGATAGATGCACGCTTGAAATATTCTTCCGTAAGGACATGAGTTTAACACCCATCGTGTAAGCGGGAGGGAGCCTTGTAACATAACTTCGCTCCTGGAACTTATTGGTGCTAAGCATTCGCTGCTATATGAGTGTTGATTGGTGGTAGTTTTGCGATTGTTATACTGTTTGAATATATCACTTCAAGAAATAGATTTCCACCAAAATGGGAGAATATATAAATTTGATTCCTATCTGTTTGGATATGTCACCTTGAGAAATAAACGTTCCACCAAATGGGAACACATGGCCAAACTGTCACTGGTGCTTGAGTTCTAATCAAATGCTGATTCAAGCTACCTCTTTAACAGACATTTATATATCATGCAGCGTAAATTTTCTGAATCTTCTATCTTCAGTCTGTAACTCCCTTCATAGACCATATTCTTATAGCTTCTGTAACAGGTTGGGTGAACAGGTTTGCTCATGCTGGTGATGCTGCCGTTGAGATAGCTGGAACTACTGCCTTTAGGGTGAGATTCCTCTACTTTTGGACGTGCATTTCTTTATCTCTAATGGTATATGTGTGGTTACCAGTCTCCTAGTTCCCATTCTACTTCTCTATATGTGCCCCAATTGTTTGAGCCTTTCCCTGAAGGGAAAATCTGTCGAAAAGTTTTATTGTATCTAAGATTACCTTACTTTTATGACTTTAATCTAGATTGAACATTTTTTCCAACTTAATTTCCACATTCAACATATTACTTTTATGTTGTTATGATCTCTGTGTAGTAGTTAAGAAGCACCAGAGACAATTTTGTTTTGGTTGTTTACTTTGCTACGTCTTGCTAGTGTAGCATAACTTTTGCTTCAACTTGACTTCTTCCGTCTCTATGTAGCTGAGGCAAGCTAAAACAGAGATTGTTACAGCTAGTAAAGTGGCATATAGGTTCTTTGCGGGAGTTGCTTCCAACAATTCAGTTGCCCCGGATTCTCCTAACTCTAGTCGGGGAACTCCTAGATTTCAAGCTAATTGGTTTAAAAATTTTGTCACCACTGGTGCAAAACCATCAAGTAGTTCAGATTTGGAGAGTCACAGTGAAGAGGTGCTACATCAGCAGCAGCATCATGGCACAGAGACCCCTCTGAGGCAGAACTCACGGCAGGACAGCTGAAAGGAATTCCACCATGCGCTAATCCATGTACTAGTTCATGTTGTAGTCAGACACAAGGAACATCGTTTCCCCCGCGTTCACTGTTATGGTTGATCACTCCTTGTTATTCTCAAGAAAATGCAAGCTTGTTGCTGCTGATTTGTTGTGGAATTATGTAAATCATTTTGTTATTCTGATGATGCTGCTTAAATGTTAGAAATTTGTTATGGGATTATGTAAATTTTTCTGCTCTTTTCTTGATGCTGAATTAAATGTTAGAAGCTGGACGCCCAAACAACATTATTCTTAATACCTTACCCGTTCTTTCTTTATTTTCACTTGCATATATGTTATTTCTGTGTGATACATTGCTGTTCTTCAATTCCATTTACATGGCAGATATGAGATTTTTTTTTNTCTCTATGAAGTAACCGTAATGCAGAAAAAGGAGAAGAAATCAAGTTGTCGGCTTTAAGATGTCCACGGCCACAAAATTTTAATATGTAGTGTATCTTGGTCGTTTCATTTTCATGATGGATTTTGGTCACAAAAATAGCCTATTCTTCCCATCCTATAAGAGATAAAACAAATTCCAATAAGTGTTTCTTTGCATTTGATTCGTTATTTCAACTAAAGTTGAGAAAGAAAATTTGAAGTGTGAAAACTTAATTTGAACAGTATTTCGAGTAAAATATACTAATGGATTTCACTCATAAAACTTAAACTTTTTCTCCAAGTGAAATTCAAATCAAAACACAACTCCAAATATTCTTCTTCAATTTTAACTTCAAATACTCTTTTTTCAAACTTCAACCAAATACTATCCTTAGTATAGAATATACATAAACCAATTATGAAATTGACGGTCTACTCGACGAGTTAGGTCGCAGGGTCTGAACCACTGAATGCATACTACAGCGTTTAAGACCTGACATCCTGCTTTAAATTAAGTAGTAAGTGATAGCTCAACATTTTCCAAGCAAGGATTTCAAAACCACAATAAGAACATGAAATCACAAGTACATTTACTTATACCTGACAGCCCATCACCCAAACGAGCAAAGAGTACGATCAACTGAATGTTTTCATACCCAGCCATAGAAATACCTGAACTTCTCCCACCATGTAGCTCTCATGAACTGAAGGTGTAACTTAACCACTCTAAACTTATGCATATAACAGCTCAACAGGTGACAATCAACCAGCAATACTACAGTAAAATTTAAAACACAAGCAACAACAAAGAGCGTACATATTGCAAACGGATGAGTTCACCTTCAAATATATACATGAGATTATTCAAACCCGTTAAGTTAAAAATAGTAGTTTGGCACCACCAACTGGATTACAAACTTTAAGACTCCCACAATTAGTTCACTCCCTCAACACCTGATTGAAGATATACGAGTCCATTGGAGCATCTTCAGCTATCTGAAGTGATGAGACAACCTGCGCTGCAAGTAGATCAGGAGAAATTCTTGCAACCTCCCAATTTCCCTCATCAAAATATTGATACTGAATATCCCTTGCACAAGGTACAGATGAGATCATCCAGTCAGAATTTCCCCACTCATTCGACATGCATCCGTACCCGCTTGCACCAGAATCCCAGTCTGTTCCTTCAGGTGAATATGTCGAGAAGTCTTGGTGAGGGAGTATGGGTCGTTGTCCCCCAATGTACAAGTCAAAATTGCTACAAAGATCCCATGCATTCCATCCGTCGTCCTTCTTCAAGATAAGCTTACATGAGTCATCAGAGTCTTCGTCCACAAGGACCTGAAGAGCAACTGCCTCAGCAATCGCAGCACCCTCTTCATCAAGCCTTTGCTGTTCTTCTTTCTTCTTCTGTTTCTTTTTTTCCAGTTCAGAACGGATGGCAGCCGAAGTAGCCAAGGCTTTCTCTAAGCGCCTCTTCTTTTTCTCAGCCTGTTTAATTCGATCCAACTCATCCTTAACTTGCTTCTTCTTGCCTTTTCTAACTGCAGATGCAACTTTAGCACAGTCCATTTTGCCAACTGATTCTCAAACAATAACACTTAAAACAAATCTGACTTTCCCTTTGTTAAGATATCTCTAAAGAAGTATTCATTCTCTCTGTGACTAATTTATTTTCCCTTCCTTTGTGCCCTGTTATTAATACTATTGCAAAAGACTAAATGCTATCCAATCTAAAGCGTTTACTAAAAGTACACCTACACAAACTCAGGTCTAAAGGAATACCTCATTTTACGAACAATACAGTCCCAGACAGAAACAACAGGAGATTGAAGAAGAGAAGATTGGTAAGCACTCATAGGCCCGTCACTCACCATTCTTCCTAGTTTCCCGCAACCCTGACATTTACCCATCTGGCAGCAACTAACCAAACTACTAAGCTCACTGAAAACCCAACAAAATGATGTCTATACTTGTCCGCTTGCAACAACTCACATGGCCTTCCCTCCTGCAGAATATGCACAAACTTAGTAAATAAATTCCAGATATTAACAGAAGGAATAATTGGAAACACAATCAACAGAATTCATCCTAGACATATGTATATCACGATGTACACCACGTTGTGTGTGTGTGTGTGTGTGTGTATAGATATAGTGTGTGTCTCAAAACCACGGAAAATCTACTCATACAGCTTATTAAAGAGACCAGAAAAACAAAAAAAGTACCCATATTGATGACAAATCTACCACCAAAACAGAGGGAAATTTAAGAGATACAAAAACTTCCACCCTAACAGCTACTAGACAAATCATCAGCGTCCTCAGACGTCAAAAGAGAGCACCAATAAAGTCGCATTACATATTCTCTAACCACCTAGTGTGCATAGTCAAAGCTTAGTGGAGAGACCATACAAAGGAAAGTTACAAAGGCAGGTTATCAACAGGGGTTGATGGCAGGTTCGATTACGAAAAAGTCAATAATCAAAGATTATGCGGAGGTTTAACAACATACAGATTGAATCCTGGACTTTCATGTCTCATACATGAGGTTGTGCTTCGGACATAGTCATATCAGTAATGTCTAAATCTAATCCTATCATCTAAGTTGTTTTATAAACGACAATTTATTCTACATCAGAATCTGTCATAGCGGGTAAAACTAAACCAAACCCTAATTTAACAAAATTGTGATTCATATAAGATGCCCAAATCAGAAATTGACTTAATCATACAGAGGAAAAAAATTACAAAAATCAATAAAACCAATTAAATTCAGTTCATATCCGAATACAACATCAAACGATAACAACCCATTCGACCCGCATACAAAAAATTCAACTTTCAATACAATCAATCACTTTCACACACTATTAACATCAGATCGAGCATACCCAGAATCCAAATCAGATAGAAAAACGAAAAAATTACTATAAAAACAAATCTTTTAGATCTAATTGGAACACAAAGCAAGAACTTAAAAAACCTGTGAGAGAAAATGGCCAGCAAAAAGCTCTTCCAGCGAAGGGTCAACTATAAATAGAGAGAGTATAAAGATGTGTAGATCTGATGACAAGAAAAGCAAAGGTGAAATGAGAAATGAGGGGCGAAGAAAGAGAGATAAGAGAGACAGAGAGGATAATATAATAAGCAACTTGATCACATGAAATTGCCGGTTGGAAGAGACGGGGATGACTAGGAGAAGCAAGGGTACAATTGTCAATTTTATACCTATTTGTTATGAGACACGTGGGAGATGAGTACGGTCAATCTAGAATTTGTGAACTTTCTTTTTCTTCCCTACTCGACTATGCTATCCTAGTGGGACCCAACTAATATGAATTCATAGGGGTATAAATTATTAAATTCTTTTTCAAAAACTATATTTATAGTTGGTTTAAAAATAACAAACACTAGCAACTCAAGTATAATCTCACGTATTAGGATTTGAGGAGGGTAGTGTATACGCAGTGTTACCTCACACAAAAAGGTTATTTCCGATAAATTTTCGGCTTATAGAAACATAAGCACTATACTAATGAAGAGAAGAATAAGAAGCACAGCAACAAAAAGCCGATTGCTTTTAAAAATAATAGTTAAAAAAAATATTTAATATATAATAATATATTTTATACATAATTTATACATATTTTAAATATTTAATATAATTATTTTTGATCGATCAACCAAATGTGTAACTTAGAACAATCTTTTTTATGCCCATTTATGAGTGGCTTAAGGAAAATTTGTTTGTTCCAATAGCTAATCTAACTGAGAAGGCTCTCTATCAGAATTTGTTTTTTGATTTTAAAGCTCAATTTAAAGTTTCTGATTAAAAGTTAAATCTTTTTTTTTTTAATCATCCCGCCCCCACTAGAATTTGAGTACTTGCTTGTGATGAAGGACACCTTGGAATGAACGCTTCGATGAACTGTTAGTAGGTGGGTGGGACCTTTAAAGAAGAGAAGTTTGAGCCGGTGGAGGAGAACTTAGTTAGTTTTGCTTTTTGCTACTAAAAGGAGTTTGCTTTTGCTTTTGCTTTTACTTCCTGAGGAGTTTGCTTTTGTTTTGAAAAAAAAAGAGAAACAGGGTATTGGTTGGAGGAGAGATAAGGGAATCATCAAAGATTATATGGTTGGAAGTGGACGGCGGTGATTGGATGAGCTCATTTACTCTGTCGCCACATGCCAAAAATGCACAAATGAAAAATGTTGAGGGATGATATGATATTTAGTATAAAAATTTTAATCAGAAAAATAAAATGCTCTTGCTGAGAGTCAAAATCAAGACCTTCGCTAATTAAGTGAACGCTCAAACGAATTAAGCTACGAGAGCTTGTTGCTCTCTTATTTCAGTTCAAAATAATTAATCTCTTGTTTGATGAATTTGCTATAAAATTCAAATATAGTTACGAATAATAAATTTGTTGAAAATATAGCTATGAATAATAAATATAGTATATATATTTGACGCGTTGCGTAATTTTTCCTTTCCAAAATGCAAGAGCTATTATTAGGTTAGAACGAGCCTTTTTTAAAGTAAAAAAAATGAAAGAAAGCAAAACAAACAAAGAAAGGTGAAGTAGAACTTCGGATTTGAACGAGTAAATGAAATTACTGAAAATATATTAATTAATATTGTAAACAAGAAGAAAATGCAACACAACCGAGTTGGGTGAAATAAGGCTATATGGGACAACGCGAAGCAGAGTACCAAGTAAGTAATGACATTGTCAAATTATAAAGAAGTAAACTCATGAAAAAATTAATGAAAATTAATATATAACATATATATGCATATTTTATTTACCTAACTATACAATATAATTTTTTGACGAAATAATGTATGTTACTTCGCGAAAGAACATTTCATCCGCCTTGTTCTATTGTCATCCCT